TGATCATGTTATTCTCACGTTTCGATACAATACGAGTGAAGAACCATATAAATAATCGATTCCATTTGGACTATTTCCCCTTACAGACACCCACATTCAGCTACAGAGCACATTTAACAAAACTCACCTCTTGTGCTACATCAGTGGAAACAGTGGAAAGTTTAATGTAGGAAGAATCCAGTTAACGGTCTGTTCCCTTGACGACCTACAAACCAGCTCTTTTCACAGATCCATCTCGCTTTTTTCTCAGACCTTAAGATGTACCCTCTTTTTCAGGTTCATCTCTTTTTTTTCCATTCTGGCTGTATGAAAAGTGCTGCACCTTACGACACTTGTGATTGGCTTACCTCAACATAGCATTCTTGCCGTCACTTCGTGTGCAGCGGACTTGTCGTGTCTGGTATCCCACCTCCAGTTCCCACGACATGGGGTTCTTGTGCGCATGACGATGCTGGTGGTGGTGGTGAGAAGCCTGTGTGTGCAAAATGACTGTGTTGCTCTCATTGGAGCTGGAGCTGAAGTCCACTGTGGTCCTGCCACTTAACAGGGCATCCTTGTGATGGGGTAGTCGGCACTCGCTCCAGGCCCCTACTTTAAGGCTGTACTGGTACTCGCTCTCCCCAGCAGGGCAGTCAACAAGGCCGGAACAAGTCCTGGTCTCAGTCAAGTTGGGGCAGCTTGCACCTCCGTACATCGGTGTGGCCAGGACATGTCGTGTCCGATGCTGCAGGCCAGCGCTACATGTTTTGCTGCAACTGGACCAGGAGGTGAAGTCTGAAACCACACAGTCCTGGGGGCAGGGGATGAGGCACGCCTGCTCCACGGGTGGTTTCTGGGAAAAGAACTCACATATCCTCAAGGTGACTGTGGTACGGTTTGAAGTACGCACACAATGGACCTTGCGCCTCTGGATGCCATGCTGTGCTGTGATGCACTCAGCCGTCCTCGGCTTGTGCTCGTTGGAAAAGAACGAGACAAGAACGCAGCCCCCCCAGTCTGATACCTCCCAGATAAAGAGGTTCTGGTGCCAGTCGCAGACCTTGAAGCAGTGCCGCTGGCTTTCTGGCTTGTCCACGTGCTGACAGTGAGAATGGTGGGTAGTCCAGCCCTCCATGTGGACACACCATATTGTCCTTGTCTGAAGCCCGCCAGAACCACACTCCTCCCCGACACACTGACCCCACTGGCCTGCAACCAAGAAAAGACACATGGAGAGGGCATTTTCATTAAAACCTGCAGCTTTAAAAATAAATGATTTAAATTGCAGTTATCTGGCAGGTTGCAATCAAGCACAATTCAATGCCATTCACTTAACCTCCGTGATTGCTTTATTCATGAACTTGGGGAAGAAAGGAACAAATTTTTTTTTTTTTTTAAAGTCATCGAACCACTGGCAAATATCAATATAAAAAATACGAGGTTAGTTTCTCGGTCACAAAGGACTAGATTCACTTGGCCTCTTGATCCCAAACTGAGCAGTATAGGCTATGAAAGACATGGCCAGCTGGGGCACCACAGTTGCTCTTTGGTCGGGTGTTATAGATATGCTGTTTCTTTGTGATCTCTTTAAATCTAAGTCTTGTTTTTACCATTATTTGTATTCATTTCATGTCAATACAGCTACCGGTTCAACATCTCGTCTACAAAGATGAGGTGTTGCACATGTTTTTATAGATCTTTTGAACAAAGATTATTGCTTTTTTTTATTCAAAACAACCCAAACCAAACAAGACACAACAGTGTTTTCCTGTGGTCTGACTCTGAGACACACTAAGGATTTGAGTTATCTTAATGTGCAATTACCATTGCTGTCATTTAAGACTACAATCAGAACCAGTCTTGAAAGGAATTTCAGCAGTAAAATAATTGTCTGCAAAAGAGAAGAAACTGACAATAACATCGAACTGCCTTTGTTGAGTAATTCTTTGTACATCGCAAAAACCCAAAGAGAAGCACAATTGCATTTTTGTATGTTGGTAGATTCAGGAACCGCTAACAGCATCGCAGATTAAAAATATCAACTGACAAACTGTTCTTAATTACATTTCATATCTCACAAGTTCTGAAAGTTGATGAAGTCTATATCTGATAGGTCTCTATGCAAAGATTGAAGTGTCAGAAGAACAGTGTGGCGCTTCAAAAATACACGTTCCTCATGAAATAATGAAGTATCCTGAAATATATCTCTAATCTCTGCTCCGGTTACATTTGACGTAACAAACTCTGAAGCCTAGATATTGTGGAAAAGAATAATGTGAACATTATCAGTCATATTTGAAGCTTAGGCAACTAACACTATCTAAGCAGCCAAGTTAAGCTGTACGCTCACAAACGTGCAAAGTCCTGTTGTCTCACTTAGTTAAAATACATTACCCACACAGTTAAGTTTTCAGGTTTCACCCTCATTTATGAGTGTTAATGTGGTGGATTTCTGCAGCGTGAAACAGAGCCGCACTTGGCAGTCACTTCTTGGAAACATCAAAGTGTGTGTGCGACGAAGCACACTGATTTTCCAACTCTGACAAATAGCGGGAGGTAAAAGTACTCTGTGGTCAGAAAGGGAACAAAATTGCTGATACCTTTTTTTTTTCCCACTGTGAAAACTCGCGTCAGCGTCAAATTGTAGCTCAAAATGTGATACTTAGATGGATTCAAGGCTGACCACACACTACTTTTGATGTGAAGTAGGGAAGTATACACTATTCACAGCCAAGTCTACAGATGGTGAGGATATTATTCTCATAAATGTATCACTCACCCATTTGAAAAGAAAAGAAAGCTGACCATTTTATTTATTCATATGGGATGAAAAAACGTTTAAATATGTCGGCTAAAAATGAACAGACTGGCTGTGGTGAGTTTTCAGTGCAGATAATGAATGAATGGATTGCAATAATAGCAAGGTTGTCACATTGGTGTGTATTAAATGTTGCTGCTATCATACACACACACACACACACACACATTGCCCAGTTCACTTCCTTCTCTTGTAAAAAATAAAATAGTTGTCAGTCATGTACAGGCAACCACCTGCAACTCTGTTTCTTTGGTTGCTACAATTCTTTTATAAAGTGGATTTCTCTCATTGACTGGAGCGCCTGTTAATAATGCTCATTTTGTTGAAGACTTGAGACTTGATTTCAATACATCCTCAAATCTATACCGTAAAATGCTATAATATAGTGATAACCGTTGTGTTAACATCAGCAGAATATGTAGATTAAGGTGATGAAAGAGGCTAATTCAATTGCAATCTTATAAAATGCTAGATATATTTGTGATTCATGAATCCTGATCCAAAAACAAATTTGTGCCCCATTAAAAAAATTCGACCTTTTGTCTTCATTTTCAAAAGAAGTAGACGTAAATCAGAAAAATAAATAAATTAATTAAATTAATTTGCTGATATGATGTGGTTATCTCTGTCAGTCACATTCACTTCTCATCCAGCCATTTTGCCACATGCTATGAAAGGGATAATTTGATTCATTGCTTCTAATTGGAATTTAATCGATGTAATAATGAGATCCTCCTGCATCCTAAATGGCTTTCGAATGACAACTCACTGAAACTGTTCCATGCCCTTTCATGCCAGTGAAATCTGTTGTTAACACTTTGTTCCTTGGCCAATTATTGACACGACAACACTGCTTTGAAGCTGCTGCTTCTTGCTTAAGGAAGCAACATTTCAATCTGCCGAACAGTTTCATAGTTCATCGAAGCACATCATTGAGTTTATTCGTCTTGGCTTTGCAATGTTAATGGGGGGCTTACAGTGTAACCAACATCATTATGTTCATATGATCTTTTTGTCTTACACAACTCAAAGGATAAGAAACCAAAGGCATTATTACTATTATTATAATTTACAAAGACGTTTTCAAACACCGGAAAAAAGATTGATGATTTGTCCATTGGCTTCATTTCAGAAACTATGTAAGACATCCAGATAAACATAAAGAGCTGCAGTAATGAGAACATGTCCATCTTTGTCTGACACAGTGCAAAACACATTGAGGGTACTCCAGCAGAAGTATAATGTTGTATGTGGTGCAAATGGAAAAATACTCAATATAGGTATCATAAACAGCAAAGACATGGACACGTCGTTCTGTGGATATGTGAACCTACACGTGGCTGGTATTGAACCATTCAAATTGTAGATGTTAGAGTTGCTTTGAACAATTACATTATTTGCCTTTTAAAGGGTGTAGTAATTTAGGCTGTCCCGAGTATTAAAAGGGAGGACAACACAATAGTGTAGAGAAATCCATAAGAAATTCATTGGAGACACTGGAATGCAGCAGTCAATAAAAGCGCAGCCGACTGATAGCTAACGAGGAAAAACCCTTTGCTTTATGGGAATAGAGCTCTATTAAGAGATAACATTTTAGGCACTTGAAGGCAGAAACTATTTGGTTACAATAGCTCCATTTAGCAAAAAGCCATTTGTAGCTCTTTTATACAGGCCACATTGAAAATGAGCTGCGTACAACATGAGGCCAAGCAAAAACAGCTGAAAATAGAACCAGGGCTGAATGCCTAAACTGGATCAGAAAACATTTTTTATTGCCGTAACAATTTAACTTGTTTTATATCCATGCATTGCCAAAAGTGAAACTTCACCAATAAGTGTGCCCTTTGAACAGCACAATTGTTCAGATTTCCTGTGCAGTATGTGCCATCGTATGTGCATGTTTTCGCTCATTAGTTTGTATTTTTCAATGCATAATTAGGGCGCCTCATTAAACTGAGCGTACATGGTTTCGCTTGAGTTTGAATTGATAGCTTGAGCTATAGATGATGTGTGCCAGGCTATTTGTTTACAGCCTCAAAGACACTAGCAGCGCTTTGAACAGGAGAGACATGTTGTTTCTGTCAGAAGAGAGAAGAGGATACCCAAGATCACTCAATGCCGTGAAAACGTCCACAGTACATACTGTATATGAAAACATTATAATTAGACCCATTAGACGGTAGATATCAGTTGAATTTAACTTCAAAAAGTGTAGTCGTACCCCAACTTCCAACATTCCAGCTCTACACTGTGACGTTCTCAATTCAGTAAAAGGTGACAAGACTAAAAAAAAAAATCTCAAATGGGTTACACCCTAAAATAGACATGAAAAGCCCTCCACAAATAATAGATATGAGCAGCCATTAAGCTTAAAGACCTCCAGTGTTCTGTCAACAACGAGCAGCTAAGTGCACTGCTCTTGCGGTCACTGATAGCGCTCTTTCATGATAACCACTCTTTCATCAGCATGGCCACCTTTGCTCAATGCTGATGTTTCCCCGCTGTACCAGTATATGTGTGCCTGATTTATGGAGGTGTGATTGGGAGCGAATCCGCTGCCAGGGGAGCCAGCTAACACAAGCACTATCTCCTAAGCTCGGAATAATCACTCTCTCGATCTGTCAGCTTCAGCATCTGTCAGCCCCTCAGGAGGAACAAGCCACCCACTGCTCCTTCATTCCTGACGCACTTAGTCGCCTTGCTTACACCCCCGGGGGGGGGGCTCCAGTACCCCTGGGGGCCCCTGCTATATTTACTATTCCATTTACGTACGTCCGGGTATAAGAAAGAAAGTAACTGTGCAAGAGGCTGTGCCGACTCATACGATACAGGAAAAGGCAGGAATTGAACTCAGCCGGTGTAACAGAACATGTCCACTCTTTTGCATCATTGTTCCGTTGCACCCTTAAGTTGGACAAATGGTAGCAAAGGCTGTACGACAATAACAAGTAACACAGCAAAAGCAATCTCCACTGTGCCCCGAAACCAGACAGAAGGAGACAAAGAAGAAGCAAACAGCGAAGCAGTAAACTGTCTCTTAAACAGCAGCGTTCCGTCGAGAGAAAACTACACTCACCACTGGCCAATCTTTTGCCTCTCTGGTCTCTTTAATTACATTTGGTGAAAGCATCACTGAGTCAGGTCGGTAAAGTCTTAAGCGATTTCTTGGCGCTTCCAACTTCTTGCCGCCATTTTGAGACTGTTCGATGTTGTGTTTGGCTGCTTTGAACTCTAAAGAGCAGCTGGATTTCACACGCCCAGAGATGCTTCTGTAAGCCACGCATTCTGCTTCAACGTGTCACAAAAACCAAACGGCTATCTTTTCTGAGCGTTTATTAATCACAATGATCCGTTTCTCCATCTACTGCACTGTCCAAAACAATTTATTTGG